ATATCATTGATATAAACCAAAAAGAGTAAAGGTCCTAGGACTGATCCCTGAGGGACGCCAGCTTCAATTGATTTAACATTTGACTTATACCCATTTATTACTGTAAACTGTTTTCTATTATTTAGATAACTTTCAAACCATAATAAAAGAGATCCGCGAATTCCACTAGCCCATAACTTATGCAAAAGACCCTTGTGCCAAACCCTATCAAACGCTTTACTTATATCGCAGAATACAGCGGGTACCTCCTTGCCTCTATCCATCGCCTTAGCTATATAGTCATACAAATGAGTGAGCTGGTATGATGTAGAATCACCAGTCGTGAAACCTGACTGTAATGAAGTAATAGTTCCATTATCTAGAAAAAAATTTGACACATATTTAAAAACACACTTCTCAAATACTTTTGAAAGACAACTAGTAAGTGAAACCGATCGATAATTAGTATAATCATGAACATTATTTTTCTTATAAATTGGAACAACGGATGAACATTTCCATATATCTGGAAATTGAGAAGAGGACAAAAAAATATCAAACAGGTTATCAAATATCAAAGTGGAATGGACAATTGTTCAGCTAAACATATTTTAAGACACGATTGCTAAGATGATCTGGACCAGTTGCTTTAGTGATATCAAGCGACAGCAAAATATCCCTTACTTCAACGCTTTGTAATCTTATATCAGTGAGACAATTTTCCACGTTAATATTAGAATATACATTAACATCATCAGAAGAACTGTTAACCGCTGCCATACTCACAAAGTAGTCATTAAAAATATTTGCTTTCTCAATATCATCTTCATAAACAACACCATTGTGTTCAATGTGTGGAAATATCTTAGCTTTATCTGTTTTCCTAAGATAATGTTTAACAATCCGCCACCAAGATTTACTACCATGTTCTGTATTGACAACATTATCAAGTTTTTCAACATACAATGACCTACTTTTACGTATCTCTGAGATAAGCTTATTTCGACTTTTTCTATTTTTTTTCCAATCATTAGGCAAGTTACTACGTTTAGCCTTTCTATGAATTCTATTTTTCTTACGCATAAGTTTTCTTATAAATCCGTTCATCCAAGGAGCATCATTTGGACGAATCACAACAGTTTTATTTGGAATATTTGATTTACATAAGTCTGTTAATGTATTAACAAATTTTGAAGCAATGGCATCAACATCATCATTTTGTGTAAGAAAATCCCTATTAACATCAGCCACATTTTGCCGAAAGGAATTTATATCAATATTATCGTAATTATAAATGAATCTTGAATAGGCTTCTTTCATCTCTTTAATAGATTTCAGCGACACGCTAACTGAACAATGGTCACTGCAGAATGGGGGAGTAACATCCGAGGAATTTACAATATCAGGACACGATACAAATATTAGGTCAAAAAGTGTTCTCGATTGTTGAGTAATACGTGTCGCCTCATTTATCAGTTGCGTCATGCCATAAATTGTCTTAATACGTGCAATGTTAGGATCTATTCTATTCAACGAATTAGCATTGAAATCCCCAAGTACTATAGTCTTTATATTAGTATCTATCGCTAAGCCTATTGATTCTTCAATCAGATTCCAGTAGTGGGAACTAGTATTTACACGATAAAACGTACCGACAACATAACTCTTGTTTTTACACGTGATCTGTGCCCACACTGCCTCTAGTCCTGGAAGTTGTAAGTCAGGCCTATGCTTACAGTAAATAAAGTCTTTCACATAAATTGCAACCCCACCTCCCCTAGTTTGTCTATCATTACGAAATGGCGGATGAAACCCAGGAATAAGAATGTCATAATTTGAAATACCATCATGCAACCAAGTTTCTGATATACATATAACATCATATTCATGGAGTTCTGCGTAAACTAAGTCTACTTTATCAGTAAGACTACAAACATTAGTATGTACAATACTTAAATCTGAGTTAACTGGTCCCGGGTTAGGGTGAATATCTCCACAACAGAGTATTAATAATAGAGCTATCTGAATACCCCTGACCCCAAGTGTACAGACTAACATCACCAAATAATAAGTAGATATGTCTATTTTACCATGTTCTTTATTTAGGGACTTACAGTGATATACCCCGATTCTCAGCCGGTATATTGAGATGTCAACCCCCATCTAATAATCTTAAAAGTGACATATTTAGTGAGAAAGGGGTACATACACATGTAAGTCATTATATGTCAGATGTACTTGTGTAAAGATGTTTTTAATCACAAGATGTTCCTCAGTGTGCGTTTTATGTTCTGCTTGATGTCACGAGTCAATGCTTTGTTCAACTAAATTGTAAGGGTGGGTGAGTATGATTCTAAAACCGTAGGGAACTCTACTCAAGTAGTGAATCCAACTCTGGCATTCTGCCAGATGAGACACACCTTCACCACTAGGTATATGTATTTATAGGACATAATATTACACTCCCCGTCTCTGCTTTAGAGTTTGTGGTGCTATATCGCTCCTGTTGTTATCATTATTAGCCGGATATAATAAATTCTGGTTCAGACAAGTCGGTGACAGAAGCATGGCAGCTGACAACATGAAGAACTGTAGAAGACTTTATGGATAATTGAAACTTTCCATTATATGCAAGAGCAATATTTATATACACACACATACACGCACACACACAGGCACACAGATGCATCTGAAACCATAGTTGCCTATAAAAGGTGTGTTCCTGTGACACAATATTCTGGGATATACATCTATGCGTGTGTTATCCCCCTTGTACAGCTTGTTCAGCTTGACCTGATCAAGTGAATACTAATGCATTGCGCGACCGTGTCACAACTGGTTCGAACTATTATTGTCAAGGGGTGCACTTTTGTCAGTTGATTGTCAACATGTCCGAACAACCGAAACAAGGTCGCCGTTTGACATCTCTGTGTCCTAACCTTCTTTATAAAAGATTCGGAGTGTAACGAATCCATGTATGCACGCCACATTCTTTTCTTCCCTATTTAATGAAGTTAACTCGACCAGTCGTTTGTGCAATTTGACCTCCCAGGTCATGCATATGTAGAGTAGCTCAGGTCAAGCTGAACAAGCTGTACAAGTCAATATTTCACAGACCATTTATAGACACAGCACAGACCCCCCTTTAGAACTTTCGTCATTATTGAGTCTTATGAAATGCACCTCACAATTCCAAAGGAAATCAAATCTACGTTATATACTAAATACTGATACAAACTCATGGGTAATCATCGTTAATTTATGGAATCAGTACGTCCATTCAATCTCTGTAGACGAGGGCAGACGCTATTCACCCATGTGTTTTATAACACCTAGTTGGCCTAGGGCAACTCTAGACGATATAACATGCAGGGAATATGATGATGTAAAATGATGACATTACTTACTTATTTCATGTAATTAACTGCAGCATGATCTCAGCTGAAATTCTACCTGTCTACCTTCAGACGTTTCTCCTGCAAGAACTCAACTCATGCAAGAAAGAAATACAGAACGCGGGATGACGACGACATTGGTTCAGGGACATGATCTCAAATTGTCACTGCCCTAGATAGTAACTAGCGCTGATAATTCACAGTACTGTCACTGTATGAGAGCCAGAGAGTAGACTGGCTGTATGGGAGATTTATTGACTTTTGTATTCTTCTCACATGCTGAATCTGGCTAAACAGTTTTTCATATATTTGCTAATACTCTGTTGTTTAGCCTGTTTAATACAGTTAGTATCTTAGAGTAACTCGACATGTATTATATACAACCGTGCATTAATTAAGCACCACCCTATTTTTAAAATAAGATGTGATGCTACAGAAATGTTAGGGTATAGCCATCAATTCAATCAACCTGTAGTTAAAGAAGCTTTATCCACTGACAGTTTTACAAATACCATAACTTTTTCTATTCTTGATGAAAGAACATGTTAATGAAAATGTGATGGGACTGAATTTTACCCAAAATAACTATTCCTCACCTGCTCAAACTACACAATTCAATTAAGTTTTGACTAAAAATAACAATCTTACTTCATTCATTCCTTCTTTACTTCATTCATTCATTCCATTACTTCTTTACTTCATTCATTATTCTTCTTCACTACGTTCATTCATTCACCATTTATTTCACTTTTTCATTCATTCATTCTTCCATTACCTCATTCATTCATCCATTAATAAGACTAATAACATTTTCATTACAAAAACTCTTACACTTCCCATATTGTATAATGAATGTGTGTGTGTGTATGTTGAGCTTTTTTAACTTATATGTGTACATAAACATGACTTATCCATCCATTTATTCATTGCTGCATTTCTCCATTCATCATCCATTCTTTCATTTCTTCTTTACTCTATTCTGTTCGTCACTACCTCATTCATTACGTCATTAATTAAATTATTGCTTCATTCATTATGTCACAATTTTATTCACTACGTGATTCATTACTTATCAATAATTATCATGTGTGGTGTAAGAGTGGGTGCTAGAACACATCCCACTCGTCCACTTAATTAAGCGTCGTCTCAGCAAACACAATATATTCTGTATAAAGCCAGGACATGTGAAACATTTCATCAGTTCACAGTTTAAATGAAGTGATGCATGCACACACACACACACACACACACACACACACACACACACACACACAACACAAACAAACAAACAAAAAAACAAACAAACAAACAAAACAAAAACAAGAAACAACAACACAAAAACAAAAACACACACACAACACACATGCGGGACACAGACACATAAACACAAGCAATACATATACCAACAAGCAATACACACTCTATCCCTAGCAGTTCCATATTGATTCAATTCCAAAGATATTTAAATCAGTTCACGTTAAACGTTCTCTTCCTGTTGTCTGATAGTATAAGATAGCAGTGGTTAAAGTTCCTTCCGCACGACATCCATGTGTCGTTAGTTTCTGGTGTCCAGTATTATTGTAAAAGCGGAGTATCTTCCTGTTCCTAGTCTAAATAGGGTTTACCTCAGAGCTCATCACGGGAAATGTCCTCCGGGTTACCTGGTGTGATGGGTTTCCTTCTTACAGACTTCCTGTATGTCCATTTATCCTCGGCTCTGAGTTCAGCTTCCGTCTTCTCCATCATCTCCTTGTCCTCACCAGCAAACTCCTCAGCATCTTGAATCATCTTCTCCAAATCTTCAGGAGAAGGCCTCTCCCCTTCGTCGTACTTAATGACAATGTTGTTCTTATTTCCAGTCCCCGTATCTTCAGCTGTTACGTACAAAATGCCATTCATGTCTATTTCAATGGTAACATTTATTTCAGGAACCCCTCTGGGAGCCCGCTGAATAACTGTAAGGTCAAATTGTCCAAGGAAAATGTTGTTCTTTGTAATGCCCCTCTCGCCTTCAAAGACGCGAATTGTCACTTCATCCTGGTCGTATTCTGTTGTTGTAAACTGCTCTGTTCTTCTGGTGGGGATCAATGTGTTGCGCCGGATGACCTTTGCCATGACGCCGCCAATGGTCTCTATGACGAGGCTCAATGGGCTGAAGTCGCAGAGTGTGATGTAATTGTCGCCATTCCCAGCCATGACTCCTCCCTGAACAGCGGCTCCGTAAGCTACAACTTCTTCAAGGTTGATGCCTCTGTTTGGTTCCTGGAATACAATGACAATGACACACTACAGAGATCACAACCATAACCCACCCAAACAGGGTATCGAAATGCACGACCTAACGTACCGATTCTGGACCCCTTTGTACATTGAAATCTGTTTCAGGGCACGAAGATCACTACCATAACATCAAGTTAATGTTAAACCTATACCTCCCTTGCCCACTCTACCTGTACAGAAGGTAGCCGTGTATTTAGTACTTGAACCACGTGTGTGCATGGATGAGACTTCGTCATGACCTGATCATGACGTTCAAGTATTTATTCTACCAACGCAACAGTGCTGGCAATGGTCAATCTTTTCTCAAGGTAGACGAGTCTCATCACCTACCAAGTACCTGAACCACTTTGCTGACCAGTGTGTGGACGGTTGAAACCCACTGGAACTCATCTTGACCTGCAAGGGTTTACCATACTAACCCAATTCTGTTGGGCTTGATCTTCCTGTACACAAGGTAGCCATGCCTCATCACCTAGTGAACCACTATAGCTGGCCTTTGTGTGGTTGAAACCCCTTGGAACTATTCTTGGCCTTTAAGTATGATTCCACAAACCCAATTTTGTCAACAGCCAGCGTTGCAAGTCAGTGAACTATTTCACAATACAGTGTTAGGTTATTGAATTTAACTGACACTGAAGTGATTCTAATATCACCGAGGTCGACTCACCTTCCCATCAAGGAACTCCTTCACCAGTTGCTTAATCTTGGGTATCTCACTTGAGTCTCCGACCATAACAATCTCATGGATATTCGTCCTGTTCAGATATGCGTCATCCAAAGCTGACTGCATATAATTCAAAGTTGATTTGAAAAGGTCCTGACAAAAGAAAAAGTAAACAAATTAGATATAATATGATAATGCATCATCATTCAATTGCCTCAATACCTTAGTTATTGCGTATAAAGAGATACTGCTTGTAACCCATCGACTATCAACCGACTTGTCAGAGAACATCAGGTAGCTTTTGCTCAATGTATTCCTTTATGGTGTTCAGCATTCGTGGATGATACGTGATATCACAGGTATGTGTTAATCAACACTGAATGTTCCACTGTAGTCAAAGATGCTGATTTCAGTCATAATCATGTAGTTGAGCTAATTGTGGTATGGAACATAGAACGCTGCGTCACACAATAGGGAAAGATTTCTAACACTGAAATTAGCTAGGCCTTGTGCCACAGAGCAAGAGTCTTTGTCTAAATGAACTGCAGGTACGATCGAGTCAGCACAATGGTCGTTGTAGAGGAATGAGGCCCGGGTGATTTGAATGTCAGAATGTGTTTATTACGGTCATGGACGTTTTGCGTTTGTGTGACCTGCAAAACAATATTTAGACGTATCACTTGAACTCTTACCATGTTCAGTTCCTCCAGTTTAGCTCTAGTGAGGACTTCAGAGAAATCATGACCGCCCATGATAGACTCAATCTCCACCCGAGTCTGATGCTGGGAGGACAGGGCTCTCTTCGCTTTCTCCACCTCACGACGCAGTTTCTGGATGGCCCCGCTGTTCTCTAGTAGGTCCTGCCCCGTCCTCGTCTTGTATTGTTTGATGAAGTACTCTATCAGTCTCTGGTCGATGTCTTGACCACCTGACAGAAAATGTACGGCAGACATGGAATGACATACGTGCTATACGACACAATGTGTTCTTTTTTTCTTGTTTCTTTCAAAAGTGATGCTGTTAATTCATTTACACAACAGAATACATAGAAAAAGACGGTATGGGAAGCATGTGATGACATAAGCGAAATTTGACACTACATTTTGTTTGTATTTTATTCAAAAGGAATGGTATTTAGTCATGCAATAACTTAGACAACCGTTGATAGTATGGTCGAATACGTTACGTAGTGGTACTGTAATGTTCTGTCGAGTCTATCTAGTGTAGTTGAAAAAGGCAATATGACGAGAACATACACATGTAGCAGTTTAAGCCGAGACATTTACCAAGATGCGTGTCTCCACTGGTGGCCACCACCTCAAACACGCCATGGTCGATGGTGATGATTGACACATCAAACGTTCCCACTCCCAAGTCAAACACCGGGACGTTCTTTTCTCCATCTGACTTGTCCAGACGGTACGCAAAGGCGGCAGCAGTTCTATAATATACAGATTATGTTAGGATGTTCTCCCTCCTCCTCTTCTTCATCATCATCAGCAGCAGCAGCAGCAGCAGCAGCAGCAGCGTATCCATTATTATCGTCAACATCTACGTGGTACTATGATCGCTGAACAGCGTGATAATTATGCATAACCTATGTTATATTTGGAGGACACTTTCTCAGTATTAAACAGATTTTAGTACGTTTGGGGTTGAATCCCTTCGGGAATTCGGACAAAATGTCTCCGAGTCAGGCTCCTTTCACGAGGACACAGAATCAGCGACCTGCCCCACTCAACCACTGCGGCTTCCACAAAAATGGAAGTCATACAAATCTTAGACTTGAACAGGTAATAAGCAAGTGGGTAAGGGATGCAGGCATTATTCAAAAGACCATATCATTATATCAATCTATATTTTCACTGAAAACCAAAAGCTGGTTGCAGGGACTAGGGGAGCAAGATACTGACGGTTCGTTGATGATACGCAGAACATTCAGCCCAGCGATGGTGCCGGCGTCTTTGGTTGCTGTCCTCTGGGCGTCGTTGAAGTAGGCAGGGACTTTGACGACAGCATTGGTGACGTTTTCTCCCAGGTACGTCTCTGCCATCTCCTTCATCTTCGACAACAACATGGCTGAGATCTCCTCGGGAGCAAACACCTTGTCCTCTGACCCAAATCGGACTTCTATGTACGGCTTGTTTTCCTTGTTTATCACTTGGTCAGTAGAAAAATTAATAAATTCCTTGTTTGGAAAATCTTTACTATCTTGATAAATAAAGACGATATGAGAATACAATTTGTACTCTGGTCAAATTTTAAACGGAATTCCTTGTTAATTACCTAAAATATAAACACCTTATATTAGTGCTGCCATTAACGAGAAACACCCTTAACAGAAATTCAATAAATATGTGAATATTTAACTGGCTGATGATCTATACACAGGAAGCATGACAATATGTAGATGTTTTAAGAAGTGTTATTGAAGAACTCCCAAAATAATCAACAAAGCTACATATGTACATCCCACACACCTTGAAAGGAAATCGTTTGATGTCCCTCTGCACGGACGGGTCATCCCATGTGCGGCCAATCAGACGTTTGACGTCGAAGATGGTGTTCTCGGGTTTGTGGGTTCTTTGATTCTTGGCGGCGTCTCCGATCAGAGTCTCCCCATCCGGGGTGAACGCAACATAGGAGGGGGTGATCCTGTTCCCCTGTTGGTCGGGGATGATATCAACTTGGTCATTTCTAACCACACCTACACTGAAAACACAAAACGTTTTATTCCAGTGTTTTCCACTTCAATGTATGTTATTTCCTTGCTAGGGACGGTGGGATAGCCTAGTGGTTAAAGCGTTCGATCGTCACGCCGAAGACCCGGGTTCGATTCCCCATATGGGTACAGTGTGTGAAACATATTTCTAGTGCCCCATCGTGATGGTGCTGGAATATTGCTAAAAGCGGTGTAAAACTAAACTCACTCACTATTTCCTTATTAAAGAGAATACGGCAGGTATGTATTTTGGCGCACTGTATCGTTGACTCTTCGATTCCCACTGCATGATCAGAGGGTACAGGGACGTAGTTTGTTTAATTATTTATCTCTGCCAGAATCTCTTATAGTCGTGGTTCGAATCCGAGTTGACCCCGACTATGATTCTAAGGTTTTCTCACCATACATGGTGAGCATACGTCACAGGTTTCCATCACACAGGGTCTCCTTCCCATATTAAACAGAACATACATGTAAACATACGTCAGAAGAACGAATTACACATTCATTCAATCACCGAGGGAGTTGTGCCCCTTGTGTACGGCAGAAACCTGTGATCGTGGGTTCGTCGAACGAACCGTCCCCGTTAGGCTACTAGATCTGTCAGGACCATTCCCATGGTGGAGGGTTTCACAAATGCGTAAAACCTGCATCACTTCAGACTTTCCTCCTCCAAGTTTCCCCCGCGTGGTATGACGGGAACACTGATTAATGCGGCGTTAAACCTCACTCACTCACTCACTCACTCATCCCCTCACTCACAACCCCGCCCACCCACAAGGAATTCAACCAACTCACTCACTCACTCACTCACTCACTCACTCACTCACCCATCCACCCACCCACCCACCCATTCACTCACTCACTCACTCACTCACTCACCTTATGGCTGCCACAATTCACAACATTTAGTATTTTGTATACTCACCAGGTGAAGGCTGTTCCCAGGTCTATTCCAATAACAGGTTCTTGAATCTCATTCCGGGCAGTTATGCAAGCTTGCACGTGCCAACATGTTGTCAGTAGCAACAGCGCTACATGTGTACATGTAATACGCATGTTGTTAAATCTGTTGAATCGGCGGAAATTGTGAGAATAACGGTACCTTTGCAGAATCAAATTTGTGGGCAGATCTCGTATTCTGTAAAAGACGTAAACACGTGATGATTAATACTGGGGAGACTCCATCTGCTGTCTGAGCATGACATTCCTTGTTTACAACGACTACTACTACTACTGCTACTACTACTACTGCTGCTGCTGCTACTACTACTACTACTACTACTACTCCTACTGCAACCACTACTACAACTATTACTACTACTACTACTGCTGCTGCTGCTACTAGTCCTACTACTGCTTCTGCTACTACTGCTACTTACTTCTACTACTACTACTGCTGCTGCTACTACTCCTACTACTCCTACTACCACTACTGCAACCTCTACTACCACCACTACTACTATTACTACTACTACTGCTGCTACTGCTGCTACTAGTACTACTACTGCTACTGCTACTACTCCTACTACCACTGCTGCTTACTTCTACTACTGCTGCTACTTACTACTACTACTACTGCTGCCTTCTACTACTACAACTATTACTACTACTACTACTACTGTTGCTACTAGTACTACTACTGCTGCTGCTGCTACTGCTACTTACTACTACTACTACTGCTGCTACTACTACTGCTGTTGCTACTACTTACTACTACTACCTGCTGCTGCTACTACTACTACTGCTGCTACTTACTACTACCACCACTACTGCAACCCTCGACCACCACTACTACTATTACTACTACTACTACTGCCACCACTACTGCTGCTACTAGTACCTACTACTGCTACTGCTACTACTCACTACTACCACCACCACTACACCATACTACAACTACTACTACTGCTGCTGCTACTGCTACTGCTACTACTACTGCTACTACTGCTACTACTACTACTACTGCTGCTACTACCACTACTGCACTCTCTACTACCACTACTGCAACTACTACTCACTACATTACTGCTGCTACTACACTACTACTAGGTACTACTGCTGCTGCCACTGCGCCTCTACTAATATTACTGCTACCGCTACCCCACTAACTCCTACCACCACTAGTACAACCTCCATACCACCACTACAACCACTGCTCACTTACTACTACTACTACCACTCTACTGCCACTTCTGCTACTACTTCACTACTACGTACTGCTGCTGCTACTGCTGCTACTCCTACTACCACTACTCACTGCAACCCTACCACCACCACCACTACTCACTACTATTACTACCACCACTACAACTACTACTACTAGGTACTGCTGCTGCCACTGCTGCTACTGCTACTGCTACTACCACTACTTCACTGCTGCTGCTGCTGCTGCTACTACTACTACAACTACTACAACTACTACTCACTGCTACTACCACCACTACTACCACTACTGCACTACTACTACTACTACTACTACCACTACTACCACTGTACCACTACTACTACACTACTACCACTACTTTACTACTACCACTACGTACCGCTACTGCTACTACTACTACTACCACTACTACTACTACTGCTGCCGCTACTGCTACTACCACTACTACTTTACTACTACGCACTGCTGCTGCCACAGTACTACTACTACTACTGCTACTACTACTACTGCTACTGCAACTCACTTCTACTACTACTCACTACTACGTACTACTGCTGCTACTGCTACTACTACCACTACTACTGTTTATGTCGTAGCAATTACAAATACTGTATGTTACCATCACCAGACAGTTGCTATATCTGTGCTACTACTCCCGTCACAATACCGCTGTATTGTACTAGGACTGTTGTCGTTAGAGGCGACAAAATCGATGGGGTGGTCAGGCTCGTCCACTTGGTTCACTTCGTGTCATCGTGGCCCGATGATATCAATCACTGGTACGTCTAGTTTTAAATACATGACGGCCAAACTACCACAGCCACTTCAGCTGCGTTGTTGCAATAACCGACAATTCTACAACTGCTGTGTACAGTTCCCTTCAGAAAGCATGTCTTTTGCAACCTAGTAGACAGTAAATCTAGTACATTACCTTCACTTCAGCCACATATCATTCGTTGATATCAATCTAGAGACATAAATATTATACTAAAAAAATAATTAGATACGTTCCAAGTGTTTTTCAATGTATGTTTTTCAATGTATGTATATCAATAAATACGACAATCGTTCATGTTATACATTGTTTCGTTTCAGATACTATCGCTATTTGGAGCAACCTTTGCAATTGCATGAACCAATCAAATAGCGAGTTAAAATTAGCTCACATACCTGCGTTGTCAAGGTTACACACCACCAAATGTATTCCCATAGACTTCTATAGTAACCTTATAATTTTTTTAAAAATAGACAGGCTATCAACAGCCATTCCATGTACACATGGGTACACTCTGGCCTTTAAACTACCATAAAACACAATATCTGGCCAACTTGTCCGGCTCGTTTTGCGAGCACAGGAAGCGGAACACATCAACCCCAGTTCCGCACTAAATGTCAACTACTGGAAAATATCTGTACACACAATAAGCATAAGTGATGGTGATAAAAATGACAGCACCAAATATTTAAATTGTGGTCAGTTTTAATTACTGGTTGGATTTGCTTTTCAAAAACAAACATCTTACACTTTTTCATCCAATCACAGCTGTCACATGTCTCTGTCTCTCTTGACTTGTTTACATACGGGTCTCGCGCAGGGAGCATGTGATACTGATTTAATGTAGTGGAACCTATAGGAAAATTTAGAAACATTTGCCCTAGGCAAATCTGTGATTTATGTACTGTATATACATGTAACTTCTCAGAAAAAATATAAAATTGCATGAAGCTTCAATACTTTTCCTGTCCAACATATCTATATGGCACAAGAATATAGTGATTTGCTGCACTGACAGAGCTGTAAGAGTTATATCATGTCTATTTCACCAAAGCTATACAAAATGCACTTCTGCATTAATAGAGAAAGGTTTCAAATCATACATATACCATGGAGTTTACTCTTATTTCACAAAAGAAGGGGCCATGGGTTAATTCCATGCATGACTGGGACTGCCTTTGATCATATCAATCCAAAATATATTTTGAACGACAAAATCATGGAATTCAGGCCAGAAATTGGACAGGTTTAAAGCGGTCACATAAACCCTAGGGGGTACAAATACATAAATCACTAACTGGCATCGTTATAAATGAAACCCCGTCATTAAAACTACTCATTTCGACCTTTAATTGACTTAAATCGACCTTTTGACAACAGTGCACAATTCTCACCCGCGAACGAAATTTCAACCAATCAGAGCGGCGCTGCCCTGTGACGTCATATGAGGAATAGCTTTGAGGGCCGATGCAGAATTCATCTACATTTTAGGGGTAAATTATCTTGTTTACAGGCTTGTATAAACCTGGAATCGTGACAATTGTTGTGGAAAAATGAAAAGCTATATGTTCTCACAATCTACTGTCATTTAATTTTGTCTCCTGCTTTGCCTAGTTTCCGAGTTACAACTTGTTTTCATAGACGATTCTGTCAAAATCGATTGGTGTCGTTAGGCCCTATTTGTATAATGACTGATCTAAATTGATCCCATTTCTGTGTTTTTTACCCTCGATATTTAATCATGTCATGTAAAAAATCTGTTTGTATTCTCAAAACAGTGTCGGCCCATAAGTTTTCACATGCAATACAGCAATTAATACTCCCTTGTTGTAACCCGTGTTAGGTGGTATAAACTCTACACATGTTATTTGTCATCATTCACTTGATGGTCAGTTAATGAATTTATAACAGGTATAATTAGTGGTAACACACTTAGATTACCCGACAAAGGTTCCCATTTGGCATTTCTTGTGTCTGGAGTAAATATTCAACATTATAAACATCGATCAAAAGGATTAACCGATAACACGCTGATTGATTAATTACTTTTATCTTACACAGCGGAATTGTCAAAAGGTAGTGTTTATGTATGTAAATTTACTAATCTATACTGAATACACTCTGTCGTGTCGGTGTCTGCGTAAAAACAACGTCCTTCGTTCAAAGGATTAACCGGCAATACATTGATTGATTGCCCATTATTGGCTAACTAAATTACTGTTTTTAAAGAAAGGCGGACATTAAGCAATTAGTTGCCAGGTGTGCTATCTTGGGTGACCAATGAGACTATACACCAATACCTGAAAAGATTAATCACTTTTTCGTATATTAAACTGTTAAAAGACACATCATTTGGAACAGTTTTGTGGATATTGATGGATACATTCCTCGAACAAGGTAATGGCCTGATATTGTTCCTATAACTTTAATCTGTTTTAATTTTAATATTTGCATTTTGTTTTTATTCATTTTGTCGTAGCATTCAACAGAATCATTGTTTTCGCTGTGAAGTGTAATGAGACAGACAACATACACTAGGGTGTGTGTGCGGATTATGATTCACATTGGCAAACTATAAAATGTAGCTATTACAGTTTTGTTATAAATTCACTATAAGTATCAGCAGATCGTCTGCTTTTATTTAGTTTCAAAATGCATACACGTATGATAACAAACTAATTAGGATTATAAGGCCAAATATAAAGACGTACATTGACTAGTATCTACATACTGGTGAGTGGACATTAACCATGTGAATGTAGCAAGACATTTACCGCGCAGTATTGTCACTTCGCCCCCCACCTCGCTTCCATGGAAGAAATCGTTATGTTATAAGTTGTGTCATGCAAAATCCGTTTGGTTATGATTCCAATACATATTTAACTACGAGTAGAAAGTAGTTTTGATTTTCTAACTTGATGAAAACAAACTATAATCTCATTAATTCTAACAGACTTTACGATTTTCAAAATGGCGGCACTTCCGTCGGGAACATCCGCCAGTCTGAGGATAAATGCTATTTAGGTTTGTTTTCACTGAGTAATAAAATCAAAACTACTTTCATTGGTAGTAAAATATGTATTTTATTGATGGCCAATAGGATTTTGCATGACATAGCGTATAACATAACAATTTCTCCTGGCAGCCAGGTGGGTGTCAATATAATACTACTTACAATATTATTGTTACTTCGACCACAACCTCGCTTCCGAGGAAGAAATCGTTATGTTACAAGTTGTGTCATGGAAAATCTTATGGTCATCAATCATATACATATTTTACTACAACTAGTAAGTAGTTTTGATTCTTTAACTTCCGTGAAGCG